CAGTCTGGATCTCAGGACACAAGCCCCATTAGTTATCAAAGTTAGATGTTTTGGGGCTTGTCTTTCAGGTGCAGATCTTAAAAGTTGGGGTGCCTGATGTGTTGTCCAAACCCTTTACTCCTCATGGTTTTTAGTTACCTCGCCATTTGGGGCTCATCAGGGTGGGGTTTATGGTGAGTTTGTGTTCCAGCCTCTCCTCTGTGACATTTGATGTGATTTTCTTGTTTGCCTGATACGTAGTCATTGCTCAGTCAGCCTTTAGGGTTTTAAGAGGAAATTTTTCATGTGTATCTGTAGGCTCAGTGTGTCTGTGGGAAAAGGTGAGTTCAAGATCTTCCTTAGGGAAGATCAAGAATGGGATTTGCTATCTTGAACTGGAATCCCCATCCTAGGTTTCTTGACAGTGGAATCATATGCAGACCATATTTTTTATTCTTCAAAATATACAACGTAGTGCTTTGCCTGTGGTTATGTGTAAATAAGGATTTAATCATGAATAATAGAATAAATATGCTCAAATCTCTGTTAGAGTTGGGAGAAAGGGCATTCATTCATGCTACAATTACTGAGTGCTTACTGTGAACTAATAAACATTTTTCTATGCTCTGGGGAGGTAGTCAACACAACAAAGTGTTTGTCTTTATAGAACTCATATTCTAGTGGAAAAGACAAACAACGAAAAATACATAATGATTAGTAATAAATGCTATAAAGAAAAACTGGGATAAAAGAATAGCAGAGCAGCTTAGGGATGCTATTTTTGATGAGGGCAGAGTGGGGAAGATACGTAGAACTCTTGAAATCTGTGACAATTGGATTTTTGAGTGTGATGGAAAACCTACCAAGTCTTTTCTCTGAAAAGATTGCTGACAGGCCACAGGGTACCTGGTTATTTCTTTGGATTTATGGCAGAGACTCCTGCTTGTCCCACGGACTCACCTTCCCCTTCTTGAGTATCAGAGTGGCTTAAGTTTAACTAGGTACTTAGCCACACAGGTGAAGGTGACGTACTCAGGGCTTTCTTGCAGACCATGCTCCTAGAAGAAGTGGTTAGCCCCTTGTCCTGTCCCCCTTCCTGATTGGATAGGTATGTTGGCAAGAGATGAAGCATCCATCTTGGATGAGAAGGAACCTCCAGGTTCTCGTGGTTGGCAGGGCAACAGAACAGGCCTTGGGTGAGGAGCCCCAGGCTGCGTGTGCTCTGTTAACCAAGGGGAAACTTTTCTTTTTGGGGGGTTAACAGCAGAAGTAACTTGTACCCGAGCTCAGGGGCATATTGGAGAAGTGATATTTTACCCACAAGGAAGTTAATCACATAATCAGGAACTGTTCATGGTATAGCTCCAGTAATTCAGAAGGCAAGGTGCCTTGATTAAAAAAGGCAGCATGGTATTCTTTAAAAAAAAAAAAAAAAAGAATTAAACCTCATTTTTCAGCCCCACCTCTGCCATTTATCCGTAATAAAAGCTTGAAAAAGTCATGATGTTATTAAGTTCCTGTTTCTCCATCTGCAGTACAGGCACACCCGTTTTATTGTGCTTTGTAGCTTTCGCTTTTTTTTCTTTTTTTACAAATTGAAGGTTTGTGGCAGTCATGCACTGAGCAAGTCTGTTGGCACCAAGTCTGTTGCATCGTATTTTGTTAATTGCAGTATTTCAAACTTTTTCATTATTATATATTTGTTATGGTGCTCTGTGTTAGTGATCTTTCATGTTGCTATTGCAACTGTTTTGGGCTGGCATGAACCATGCCCATATAAGACAGAACTTAATCGATAAATACTGAGTGTTATTACTGCTCCACTGACCAGGCCTTTCCCCATCTCGTTCCCTTTCCTTGGGCCTCCCTATTCCCTGAAACATAACAGTATTGAAATTAGGCCAATTAATAGCCCTACAATGGCCCCTAAGTATTCAAGTGAAAGGAAGAGTTGCATGTCTCTTACTTTAGATCAAAAGATGGAAATGATTAAGCTCAGTGAGGAAGCCATGTCAGAAGCTGAGACAGCCTGAAAGTTAGGCCTCTGGCACAAAAGAGCTAAGCTGTGAATGCAAAGGAAAGGTTCTTAAAGGAACCTAAAAGTGCTACTCCAGTGAATACACGAATGACAAGAAAGGAAAACAGCCTTATTGCTGACATGGGGAAAGTCTTAGTGGTCTGGATAGAAAATCAAACCAGCCACAACATTCCCAGAAGCCAGAGCCTAATCTAGCTCTCTTAAATTCTGTGAAGGCTGAAAGAGGTGAGGAAGCTGGAAAAGAAAAATTTGAAGCTAGCAGAGGTTGGTTCATGAAGTTTAAGGAAGAAGCCATCTCCCTAACATCAAAGTACAAAGTGAAGCAGCAAGTCCTGGTGTAGAAGCTGCAGCAGGTTATCCAGCAGATCAAGCTTGCGATCATTAATGAAGGTGGCTACACTGAACAGCAGATTTTTCAGTGTACACAAAACAGCCTTTCATTGAAAGAAGCAACCATCCAGGATTTTCATAGCTAGAGAGCAGTCAGTGCCTGGCTTCAGAGCTTCGAAGGACAGGCTGCCTCTGTTAGGGGCTAATGCAGCTGATGACCTGATGTTGAAGCCAGTGCTCACAGACCATTCTGAAAATCCTAGGGCCCTTAAGAACTATGCCAAACCTACTCTGCCTGTGCTCTATTAATAACAAAGCCTAGATGACAACACATCTGTTTACAACATGTTTACTGAGTATTTTAGAAGTCTGGAGCAATACTACTCAAAAAACAAACAAACAAAACTTTCAAAATAGTATTACTGCTCATTGCATGGCACCTTGTCACCCAGTAGTTCCGATGGTGATGTACGCTGAGGTTAATGTCTTTGTGCCTGTTAACCACAACCCCTGTTCTGCAGCCCATGGGTCATCCTGACTTTCAGGTCTTATTACCTACGAAATTTTGTAATTGAGGTGGCAGACTTCACTGTCATGTAAAGAAACTGCCAAAGCCACTCCAGCCTTCAGCAGCTACCTCTCTGATTGGTCAGCAGCCGTCAACATCCAAGTAAGATGTTCCACCAGCAAAAAGACTGAGTCACTGAAGGCCCAAATGGGATAGTTAGCACTTTTTAGTAATAAAGTATTTTAAAATTAAGGTATGTACATTTTAAAGATAATATTATATTGCACATTTAATATATTGACTACAGTATAGTGTACACATAACTTTATATGCACTGGGGAAAAAACCTTTTAACTCACTTTTTTGCAGGGGTCTGGAACAGAACCTACAGTATCTTTGAGGTATATGCCCTGTGGGGTTGTGTATGATATACATGAAAACATTTCAAAAGTACATGTAGCTTACAAACAAATTATTACAGCATCTGGTTTACAGAATAACTTATTTAGGCTTATCAGTGCTAGCCTTAGGCACTCAAATGATGCCTTCTCGTGATTTATGACTGAACAGAAGAGGATGACCGAAGCCATTTGGAAGCTCCTTTCCAATATCTAACAATCAAATATTTGAAGATATAGAATGAACGTGTCAGAGATCACTGGGATGAAATTCAGATTTTAAATATATGAAAAGAACTTAAAGTTTATCATTCTATCATAACATTCATTGGAAGCTTGTCCCAATCTCTCCTCACAGTGGAATGTTTGTTTCAGCATGCTCCTTAACTGAATACTGGCAGGACAGACTGTGCGACCCACTGGCACCGCTCTCCCCTCAGCCTCCACTCTAAACACACGGACCTCAGTGCCAAGAGAGCAGGTGGGCCTGCCCGAGAGGCATTTCACTTCAAAACGAAAGGAACGTCTACCAACTGAAGGGCGGTCAGAAAGACAACGAAGGACATCTTCCATACATCTCCAGCCTGCCTGAAAATAGCCAACCCATGCTCCAGCCTCTCAGATGAAGCCATGACCCACGGACCCAGAGCTGTTCTTAGGCTGCTCTTGGCTTCACCAAGTCCTCTTAAGCACAGTTCTTGAAGCCAAGGAGAGTAGACTTGCTTTCTTTTTTTAAACAACACTAGCTTAAAAAAAAGAAAATACCCAAACCTTCCAGCCAATCACTAATAACTTATTTTGGAGCAGTGACTGAGTAGTTACAGCTCAACATTTAAAAACAGTTAACAACAACAACAAAAATCCTACATCCAGCTTTTCCTGGGAATAAAAAATAAGCCCAAATTGTGAATAGTCAGATCTCCTAAATGTGCAAACTGTACTAATTACAAGCTTTCCAAAATATATAGCCTGGCTATGAAGTACTGAGATGGACTGGTGTGAGCATCTTTAGGGTAGCACACCTGGCTAATACTCAGATTCCATGACTATAACAAGATGTATTAAAATAATTCTGTCTGTACGGCTCAAGGATCACTCAGAGCCTACAGATCTCTACATACTTTGAACAACTGACACTACCAATAAAATATGATAAAAATCTCTACAGTAACTATACTTAGAAATCTCAGACCTTGAGGTTTAAAAAAACATAGTACACATTCCATGACACAAAATAATGAGATTTCAGTAAACCTGGAGAAAAAAATATGACGAGAAGAAATTACAAAGGGCCTATTAGTGGTGAAATGAAGAGAATACCCAATTCACACACACAGGGAGGTAACTTGTCTTCAAGCAAATGACAAAGTCTGCATAACTCAAAAATATGTTTTGAAAAGATCCTTCAGATAGTTTAATGTGAGAGATAAGACAAAACTGGCTACTTGAAATTTTTTTTTAAGCAAATCTAGGGTTTCAACCTAAAAATACTTATACTTGCCTCGTAACTGGTTTCTTTAGATGGTGTAAACCTTTCTTATGTAATTATTGTTTCATTTAGACTGTAATTTCCTTGCAGGTAGACAAGGGACTGAATTTCCTATCCTTTTGAACATGGACTGCCAAATACTATTCTATAAATGGCAGGCATTCAACAGACTTCTCACCAAATTTGAAAACCAAAATGACTCTTACAAAGGTTCAAAGTATATAAATACAGTTCTCATTTAAAATAACATACACCAAAAGAATATGAAAATATGGTTTTATTACCAACAAAGTAGCATTTCCCACAGGTGTTTTTTCAATTATACACACACACACACGCAGACATACAACAGCAGGACAAAATTACATTTTTTTATGTACTAAAGATTCATACTGCAAAGAAAATAAGCACACGTCTAAAAGACAGAAAGCAGCAAGAAATCCTTCCTTTTAATGTTAAAAACCTTTTAATAGAGATTCTCTCCTTAGGCAAATCAATGAAGATTTTGTCATTAAAAACACTTGCAATATTTGAAAACCTTAGAGTTTTAAATACTTTATTCATGAAATCAGACTGTTACCTTAAGTTTTAACAGTTTGTATGTAATTAAAATCAACTTTTTCAGAAAATATGTGAAGTTTTAAGTGGCTGGGACTAATGTGCTAGACTTACTATTCTTTTAATTAGTATGTTAATACATAATTTATCCTTCACAGCTCAACATTCAGTGTAAAACCGAATTCTTCTCCAGTGAAGAAAGACAAATACTTATAAACAAGGTATGGAATAATTGTTAGCATATGTAAACTGAAATGTAATTGACCTTTTTATTTTTTCAAACACGCCACGCCTGATCTTCAAGCTTCTTTTTCACATTGATACTCATTTTCAGAAGTAAGATGGCTGGCACTAACTTGGACAATAAACAAACTACACCAAGCACATATCAGTAAAGATATCCTGGTGGAAAACAACAAAATCATTTGGTAACAACATCCATTTGCTAATAATGTTACCAAGTTTTTCAGTGTTTACATGAGTTGTTCACACTAGTAGAAGTGTTATTTTAAAATTTTCATAGTACATGCATTAGACTTAGTTTAAGAGGGGAAGGCTCTTTCTTTTAAAATTTTTATAAAGAGAAAATAGCTTTTTAAAGAGAATGTCCAAGTGAGAGGACATAAACCTATGGTTCATTATTTTTCAACTTAACAAGAATATAAATTTCAGTGGCTATTTAAGAATATACAAAACTCAAACTGAATGCAATTCTTCAATTTAGTTAACTACCAAGTCAGAAAAATAATCTTGTCATTATTGGCACAGATCAAATCCATTGTTCAAAGATACGTCCTTGGTCTAGTCCATTATTTCACAAGATTTAAAAGAACAGAATTTGTTTTGGCACTGGTAATTAGGATTACTCAGAGATAAACAAATGATTTTCTCATCTAATTCCTTCATGCTGAAAGAAAACAATTTAAACTAGATTTTCTAAAATAATAGGTAGGATCAACACTGTAAGGAAGGACCTATAAGCTCAGGCTTTAGAAACATTATAGTTTTAAACAAATCAATGCTTTCCCTCACTCTTTACATAACACTGAGGAATTTTCAAATATAAATTGTAGAAACCAGTATATGAAATCTTAAGAAAAATCTTACTAAAAATAATTACAAAAATGCTTTAGAAATTTAAGATGTAAAATACAATTGACTTTAAATTAAAACAACAACAACAACAACAACAACAAAAACACCACCCACACTTTACAGACTTACTCTTTAAAAAACCCTTGTCACTTGATTTTATTCTGTCAATCTTTTGGTTGCATTCTGCATCATCTAGTGGCCACCTTGTGGCATTTCAAAGAAGTCTTGCTACCGTTTTTGAACCCCAGTACTTTTTTTCCCTTTGAGATACCAGTACAATTATAGCATCAAGTTTCATAAAATGTTTTTTAAAAACCCATAAAATTCCATTTCCTAGTGGAGATAAAGAAATTTTTAATAGGAAGAAATGAATAGATTTGTCATAAATTATTACTATACATCAGTCTAGACATTTTCACATCAAATTTTTTAAATTAAATATAACACTGGGAGAAAACTATGACTTACACCGTAAGAGTAATCTTTAGGCTCTAAAAGTAGTTAAAGTTACTCTGCAGTTAAAGCTCAGGGTTACTGTGTCGACTAAACTTCTTCTAATTCTTCTAATTGATAACCCCTTCCACTGTACCTTTGATTTGAGTAGCAAATACTTAAAAAAAAAAAAAAAAGAGGGGGGCACCAATGACTCATGGTCAGAGGGCTAAGGACGCAAGTTCAACAAAAACTGAAGAGGACTGAGTGTCCACCACCAGATGATGTTCCACAGAAAGACACTGTTCTGGTCTCCATTCAGCAACCCATTTGTATCTAACAGCTGGTTTCTAAAAAGAACCAATCTTTTAGTCTCAAGAAGTCTCCTAACTTTTATTCAGTTGAGCCATACTTATAAACGGGTTTAAGAGGAAAATCCCAAAGTTCTCACCCTTCACTTTTATTGAGAAGGCTGAGTGAACGTGATACGGCGCCGCCGTCTCTGGAAAGCCTTTAAGTTCCACCGGTTTGGTTCCAGCATATGAGGACCATTGTAGACAAACAACACTGTCATCTTGTCAGAATAGGGAAGATTCTGTAGGAGCTGTAAGTGTTAAAACAAATGCATGCAGTGCTATACATCAAGAAGCCCAATCTTCCAATCTCACGTGTGTACAGTCAGGTGTTTTATTTGTAATATTAGTGAAGCTCTTAAAGTTCTCAAACACCTCAGTGTGCACCCTGCCAGACTGTGATCCTTACCTGAATGAGCACACCTGGAGCCTGGCCTAAGGAACCATCAGCATCCCTTGGGAGCCCTCTATAATCACAGGCCAAATGGGATCATCCAATTTTCTAGGCTGACCTTAGAGAAGTGTGTCCTCCAGAACTTTCCTAGGATACCTTCACTCTTATCCACAAACACTTCTCAAGCAACTTCTGAAACAGGCACTGTAATAGATTGGTAGCCTGAAAAGTGTGTAACAGGGAGGTTTGGTTTATAGGCCAACATGTTTGGTAAACAACAGGGTATTAACAGATCTGACTATTCCATAGAGCATCTGCTGGGAAAAAAAAGACAGATTATACAATAAAAACTTAAATTTAAGTTGGGCTCTCCAACAAAATACTTCATGAACACTTGGTTCTAAAAGGGGAAAAAATCTGATGGCATTAATACATATATCTGAGTGCTGTACATCAGTTTTATAGTTGACACACAGCACAAGACGTAAGAAAATTTCCCACTGTAATGGTTCTAGCTTACAGAAAATTCTCTATAATTCTGTTTTTATCAAAGTTAATGTGTGGGTAGAAGATGCTAGGGTAGAAGATGTTAGAGTACTAAGGACTTCCTCTGGTGAAAAAAGGACAGAATACACAACGATAGGGCTTTCTGGGGAAATGAGGAGGACCAGTGCTGGGGTTTGTATTTGCCTGTCATCTTTTGTGCTAAAAGAGGAACGTCTCCCTGCCAAAAGCAGGGAGGAAATCTCGGTTCTAGAACATAATGTTATGCCTCCTACGTTTCTTCCTCTGATAATGAGGTTTCTGATTAACTATGTCACTGTAACTTGTCCCCTTTAGTAATATAAATATTACTGTAATCTTTTTAGTTCCTTTTATGGGAGTGTTCCTGCTCATATTTACATATGAGGCCAAAATCTGCTATGTGATTTAGCCACAGGGGACTTCTGTGTACATGAGTAGTTTTAGGTTACTTATTACCTACCTTTGGTGTAATAAAGAAGTACTGAGATGTGTTCTCTTTACAAGCAGTATTTACAACCATTTCAAACACTCTCCGTTCATTGATCGGGTCCATTCCCTAAACAATGACAATAATTATGATTAGATTTAAATCTGTTATAAGATACAGCAAAACCCAAGTAAAAGAATATGCTATACCTGATTGATTTCATCGACCACTCTGAATGGACATCTGTTAAGCTCCTGAAGTGCCATCAAGTATAACATGGTAGAAACGCTTCTTTCACCTCCACTCTGATGATGAGGAGTTAATTCGTGCAGTTGAGTACTACTGCGAAATTTGACTCTAATTCGAATTCCATATTTATCATAGTCTTCCTATAAAACGTTTAAGAAGTTGATAAAAGGTGAGAATTTCTTCTGGTATTTCATATTACTATTAGAAACTAGACTGAATAAATCAACAGTAAATAACTTCAAATGTAGTATTATTAGTTCTATCTCAATAGATCCTTGGAGACCCCAGAAGTTTGTAGTTTGGTTCTTCAATATTTTATTGTTTCAGTTTATTTATAAAATAGGGTTGATAAAATGTACCTGCTTCATAGAATGAGTGAGGATTACACAACAGAAACTTGGAAGTACTTCGCACAGCGTCTGGCATGTAGGAAGTGTATTCCACATCAGCCTTGTTACTGCAGTACGTCCCTTACTTCTAACAAGCCCGAAGACTATGTAGATGGCAGTCACCATGGCAGGTCTAATGTCTTACTAGAACTTAACAGTGAAATGTTTGCTGTCCTTATGTCTCACACTGAGCATATATATATAAAGGAGTCATGGGGCAAAATTCCTAATGGGAGAAAAAGGTGCTAGCTTGCTTTATGTTTATGTCTGTAATGTACATGCAAAATCGTTGAGCTGTGGAGGAAAAGGATTTTTTTAATCTTCATTTACTTCTTAAAAAATTTCAACATACACAGAATTAGAACCCTGAAATAGGCTGACTGTATCTACCATCAACTAGTCCCAACTAAGATCATCGTCTGTAACTTCACTCACTCCTTCCCAATTATTTTGAAGCACATCCCAGTTCATCTCTTTACACATTTCTACTGGAAGTCTTCTTTTAGCCACAACTGCAATACATGAACATATAGTTCAAGAAATTAGTACCAAATTTCCAAGTATTTTTATTTTTGCAAACTCTTATATTCTTGATCAAAAGGAAACCACTGACATTATACTGTATTTCAGTTATGTTTGCTACTTTATGACTCTTCAGACTTGGGGGGTGGTAGAATCATAAAACAATGCACTTGCTCATCACAGCTGAATAACCACTAAAGATTGAACATGAAAGGAATTAGTAAGGTATTAGTAATCTCAAGTGTCACCCCTCCCCCAAAAAGTGACCCTGATGGAATCCCATAGATGGACTTTTCCTTCCTTTGAACAGTTTTTAACAAGCAAAATTTTTATAGATATACCTCTAGAGTAAATGAATAATTTACATGTATATGCATATAATTAAAATTACTTGCCAGGAAACACTGCAAATGCAATTTTACCTCATTTTCTGTATGGAGATCAACTTCACCAGCACACTGCATGGAACTAAAAAAGTTGCTGAATTTTTCATTAATTTTTTCTACCAGCTCTTTTAAAGGATTAAGCCACCTTTCTTTTACCTGCAAGCAAAGGCAATATAAAAACACAATTTTAAAGAAATGTTATTACATTGTATGAAACAAACTTAATATCAGTATCAATCTAGTTATGAGGACATAACACCACTGCTTTCTTAGAAGCATCATTACTTCATTTTGCATTGTTCTCATTCCCATACGGCTAATGGTAAGCATGTGACAAAAAAAAGATTAAGGTTAAATAATTACCTGTGAAATGTTTTCCCTATATTTATCCAGTTCAACTTTCTTTATCTTTAGTTCCTCAGTTAATTGTTCTATTTCCTCTTCTCTTTTTGTGTATTCCTCAACAACCTGGCAGGAAAAAAAAATCTTTACGATAAATCTACCAAAGGATAAAATTACAGAAATTCTTGCATCAAAACATTAACTGAAAATGCCAATCGTGTTGCACTGACTGTATGCAACCATTTTTTATCCTTGAAAATACAGACATTGCAGAGTTTCAGGTTAGCCCAACTATTCTTTTTATAAAGAAAAGGCACAGAACACTGTGTTCCTTAGGAAGAATCTATTTAAAATTCTAATAGATTCAGAATCTGGCATTTAAAGCACATTGTTCCTGCTGTCTAGCTTATTATTACCAAGAGCTCTAGTACAGAGTGGGAGGCGAGTACTGGAGGGAAGCGCGTGTGTGCGCGTGCACGCATGTGCATGAGGGCGGGTGCTGGTGGCTGCAGTAGGGGAAGAAGCATACTGTAGGATTCAGTCCCGTGAAGCAGGAAGCTCTTGATCTTTCTTCAGTTAATAAGGCATCAATTTCATCCAATGTGTTTGGAAGATCTTGGAAAGCCTAAAGAAGAAAAAGATTATCCATCATTATATAATACAGTGAAAACAGTTCAATTCAACTAGTTAAAAATATTCTGCTAAGTGTCTACTATGTGTTCAACAGCATGCTAGCACACAACAAGGAATCAAAGGAATTACAAACATGGCTTCATGCCTTCAAAAAGCTTCCACTTTAAAACAATGTATACACTAAAAATGTATACAGTAAAAATGAATGACACCTTAAGGTGATGTACTGATGTTGAGTATTAAAATAAGCACTACATATCATACAGGTTATAGAATTCAGAGAAAGGAAGTATCAGTTCATGCTACAGGAACTCTAAGAGTAAGAGAATCCAGAGGCCTAGAACTCATTTCTGGGCCTTAAAGCAAATGGCTAGGGAAAAAGCAAGGCAGAGGGGAGACAGGAGCTTGGAAAAAAGAATGAGCACTGCATACCATGGGGGGTGAGGAGTTGTGTCCATTTGGAATGGTGGGTACTTGCTGAATTGGTAGAATGGGTCCAGAATATGTGGGGCATTGAAAGAGAGCAAGAAGTTAGAACTTTATACTGTATTTATGAAGAACTACAAAAGCATCCTAAGAATCCAATTACTTTGACAGCAGAATTTCAGCAGAGTACGATCTTCTAAGACCGTGCTGCAGAGACAAATTAGACAGATACTTTCCTGTGAGGGGAGGCAAGCAGGACATTGTGCTGCCAGCACAGCCTGCAAAAGTTTATGTACCATGAGGTACAAAATGAATCCTGAAACCCTGAAAAAGATCCTGACACACTGCATAATCTAGTATCTTAATCTTACGTCTTTTTCCCTCTAACCTTTTAGAAAGCAGTCCAACTTTTATAGGCCTTCCGTTCTTTGTATATTTTGCGAGCTCTGAACTCGTGCCAAATATTTACTTGGTATCATCATTTTACTTTTACTAACAGACATCTTACATTTAAGAGTGAAACAGAAATCTTCAGCTCACCCACCTTCCTCACCAATGTGAGCAAACCTATTTGTCCTTTAGTCTTTCCCATCTCAGTAAATGGCAACGTTTAGGTGCTCTCACTCTCTAACACAACTCCATTAGCAGGCTTGCTAACTCTGTCGTTAAGCTATCTCAAATCTGTAAACTGCTCTGTCTCCACGGCGTCCACCCTAATTCATGCCACGATAATCTCTTGCCTGGTCCAAAGCAAACAACCTTCTAAGTAGTCTTCTTGCTTCCAACTTGTGTCCCCACTTCATCTCTATAGAACAGTCAGAGCGCTCTTTTACAAACTCAAGTTGTCCTGCCTCTGTCACTACTCTGAGTAAAGTTCCCCAGTAGAGTCTATCTCAAAATAAAGCCCAAATCCCTCCTATGGTCTGTAAGGCCCTATGTGATCTGACTTCTGCCCTCCTTTCTGCCTGGGCTATAAATTTAGCTCCACTGAGATTCTTTCTATTCCAAAACAGGCCAAATATGTGTCTGCCTCGGGTGCTTTGGACGAGCTGTTTTCTCTGCCTGGCATGCTTTTCCTAAAATCTTGACTGATTTCTTCTCTTCAATCAGGACTCATCTAAAATACTATCTTCTCAAAGGAGCCTTCCCTGACACTCTAGCCTCTTCCCTTGTTTTACTTTTCTTTTTAGTACCTCTTGCTATCCAACATTATCTATTTGCTTTTTGATTTGTTTGTCCTCCCAACCCTCCAGAGTAGAATATAAATTTCAGGAGAGAAGGAAGGATATCTGTCTTGTTCAATGCCTGAAATGTAGCAGGTAACCAATACATTTTTTAATGAATATAAGAATTATCTTCTAATTTTGTTTCTATCAAAAACAGATATTGTACTAATATTTACTTATTTTTAACACAATGTATTCTGAAGAAGTTCTAGTATCTTTTTAGAAACAGCCCCTCAAACTGTCTTACAATTATGTACCAAATTCCTACTATGTACCCAAACAGATCCATGCGCTGTAGTTTCTGGATCTGATATAAAGTAAAATTTTTGAGGATATAAACATTATAATCCAAATAAGTTTTTTCTAGTTCTATTTATATCTTTAGTGAACATTATTTATCTACTGAAATAGGTAATATTTGAAGTTAAGAATCAAAAAAGCATATAAATACCAGATATTTAAAAATTCATCTTCTATTCAATTTCTCATTTTATTCTGACACTGTTCTCACAGAGTACGTATGTAGGTGAGGCACAAGCCCTGCTTGTCAAGAAAAAGCACTAGGTCACAGAGCTATTGAAATAATGGTGGAACGTGGACAAAAGGGCAGCATTTGCTAGCTGAACAGTATGTCAGAATATAAAATACGCAATAATGGAAAGAAGGAAAGGCTCTTTTCTCCTTTCCTTAACAACATACACTAGCCATAAAGATTCAGCTCCTACTGAACCCTAAATAAACACCCTAATTTCTGGGAAAACATTTTCACTTTGCCTTTGTTTTTCTAAGTATCACCTCTGTTTACTGTTTCTTATATACAAGTTACTAGTACTATGTTTCCATGAAAAACTACATCCCATCTCTTGACCCTAACCCTTAAAGGTTGCCTGGAGAGAAATCTTTTTATTGGAAGAATGAATGTTAAGGTGCTAGTAATTTTGCAAGGTGGTGCCTGTAGTCTTAGTCACACTAGTATGAAGCAATAAGACTGACTTGTGTCCAAGTGAGTACAGTGATGAAAACTCATTGAGCAAAATTACTTTATGTACGTACTCAGTTTAACAATGGGGAGGGAGGAATCCCTATTTTTTAAGGAACATCCTGTTCTTCAGGGCCCAGATCAATGTCTAACACACTTTACGCTTAAAAATACTGTGTTAACTATGTTAACTTGCAGCATATACTTCTTATACTTACTGTCTGATATTCTTGAGGAACGGTCTGCTCTGCACCCAGGTTACATACTTGCCTGGCTCTCTTCATAAGTTCCTTGCATTTCTGCAATAACCTCTGTCTGCTTTCATCCAGCTCAATGAAATGTTGCTATTACAAGAAAAAAAATTTTGAAAATCTGTGTTACTGTTGTATTAGAGGGCTTATGTATCAAACCATCACATTATATCAAATACGACATTGAATTTTGATTGTGATAAGCAAATCATCTGAAAACCATGTCTCAAATCATTATTGATTTTATTGTAAAGGTTAAATTTGAACTTAAATTTTACAGTGTATCAGGATATTAATAACGTCATTTCTCTAATCCATAAGAGCTCTGAAATTTAATTGCCCTTATCTGAAACAGTTTATTTCAGCTATATATAATTTATACTCTAATAATAAATCTGATATATACAGTATGTAGGCTTCATACCAGAAAACTCGGCATTCAAATCCAAGTAGAACCTTTAAATTGTGTTTGATAGTTTTCTAAGTGCCTTTCATGTAGTTATCATTTATTCATGGACCCACTGGTTCCTTCACCAAATAATTACTCAAAATCTATTAAATGTCAGTATTTTATTATGCATTGACCATAGAAAGGTGAATAAGAAGAAAGATACACAAAATTATTATCACAAAATAGCTACTATTTACTGAAAGCTTATGTGCAAGGTGCTTCACACACATTCCCTGATTTCTCACAGCACTGTACAGTATTATTATCCCCATTTTGCACATTAAAAAGAAATTAAATTGTCTAAGTTCACACATTTAGTTGGAGACTGTCAGGATTCACATCTATGCTCTTTTCTTATATCATGATGCCTCTCAGTGGGAGAGGACTGGATAGAGTAAAGAAGAGAGTATGTGTGTGGTTGGGGCAGGGGATGGAGGAAGGTGAGAGTGGCCACAGAAGCTCTGACAAGTGAATGATCTTAAAGGACAAATAAGAAATTATCAAAGAGGGAGCAGCAGAAGGTGTTCCCAGGATAGGTGATTATAAATGGAAAGGCATGAGAGCCTCAAGGGCCTGCATATTCGGGGAATAAGAAATCAACGTGGTTGGAGAGGAAAGGAGGTAAAAGACAGATAAGGTGAGTGAGAGCCAGCAGGTAGAAGCTTCCTGTGTAATGAGGAGGGCATCATGTAGGCAACCATTGTGATAACCACCATCCTATATGCTAATTAACCTAATCCTCATTACCATCTTAAAGAAATGTATTATCTCCTTTTTTATATGTGGCTCAGAGATATTAAGAAACTTGCTCAAGGTTATGGAAATAGCAGGTGATTAGATTCCTGAGAAAGAAAACAGATCTAGGTTGCTCTTTCCATTAAACCTCAAACTTTGGTCTGCACAGAAAGTAATGGGATGGAGGCAGGTGCTAGAGGAAAGATTTGTGAAATACTGTTGATGCCCCAGCCACATGCCAGATCTACTCAAGTAAAATTTCTGAGGCCATAGCCTGGACATTTGTATTATTACAAGGTCCTCAGGTAATTTTTATGCACACAAGTCTGACAGCAAAGAAACTTAAACTAAGACAAAAGTTATGAAAAGTAAAAGGATATACACTGGCAAGCCTTTCTGCTAGTTACTTAGTATATGATTTGCCTGAATGCATTCCTTGGACCCTGCACCCCAAGAGAAATACTAGAAGTCGCTCATGTACCCCTGCCCTGCTCTCTGGAGCCTGTTACATGCAGGCACATGCACAACACGGGGCAGCTAGACAGAAACTGAACGCTCCTAAAGTCCTCTGTTCCTGCTTCCTAGTCCTCGCGCTACCTTGCTAAAATGAAGTATTAGAACATTATAGCAAAGGAACATCCCTAAGTTGAATATCTGGGGCTCGAGGCTTAGGGGAGCAAAACTTCATTTGATTTCTTCCGTTTGGTGGCATATTAAACATGTAATAGAATCTTTACCAGAGAAAAAGTGTTCTTTCTATACATACGTGTTAGTGACATAACCTCTTCACAGAGCACTTGTTCCCCACCCCCACACCACAGTTTTTACTAAGTTTTTTTTTTTTGCGGGGGTGGGTAGCAGAGAAAAAGTACAATTATATAAAATAATGCTGTAAATTCAGGGCAGTGAAAAGGGCTTTATTTACATTTCTGCTTAGAGTCTAGCCTTTAACAGTTAAAAGACCATAGATACATTTCATCTGAGTAAGACATATGGAAAAAGCAAATTTACAAAAGCTCCCCCACCAACATCTCAGAAAAGATTAAAAGTATTTTCTAGGAAATTCTTTTGGATAAAGTTCAACTGTTAGGAAAGGTGTACAGAAATACCTTGACAATTAAACTAAGAAAAAGCTTCTCTAAGAGGGCCCTCTAGTGGAAGAAATCAGAACTGTCCGCAGAATTTCTTATCATATAGTATATGCTGCACATAAACTGACACAGTAAGTATTCTACTTAACTATTTTTAATTTGTGAAACAAAATGAAAATTTTTGGTATGAAAGGAATTAAATAAAGTTCTAGATAGCATAAACTTTTACTTAAACAGTAGTTGTAAATTACATTTCTTCCTCAATTTTTCTTTCAAATACAAGCATTAAATTTCATTCCAATTTAACTGGTTTCAAATTCAGATGTTAACCATAAGTTTTAGTGCACATAAGACTGCATACGTCTTTTAGAAATATAAAAAATATTTAATCATTTTCGATGTCAGCTTAAAACTGTAACACAATTTTAAGTTTAGAAACCAGTGGTCTTACCTGCTAGCAAAATTCTTGTTTTTTCCAGTTTCTTTTAGCCATAAAGCTTTTTCAAGAAGCCAGAAAGTTTGAAGAAGCTGGCTTCAGAATGATGCTGTCCTTTAGTCTGATTTAATCTTTCATTCATCTATGCAATTCTACGTTTTATTTCCTAAAAACCTATCATCTAAGGACTTTTTCCACAAAAAGATAACTCTTGTTCACTTTTACACAACAGGTATATTTCTGATAAATGGAAAGAGAATTATGTATAGATCACTTCCAGAAAGTAGTAGATTCTAGGTGAGTAGAAGAATGGATAGGGAAAGGTACAAGGGGACTTTGAATACATGGGAAGTCTTAAAAACCTGGATATTATGTTACTCTTCCTGCTCTGGTATAAATATTTAAAATTTCATACTTGAAAAAAAGACTTCAGTGAAACAAATGATAAAATCCTGAATTTTCTTAAATTTCTCAGCTTTGAAGTTAACTGATGAATAAACTGCACATATAAAGTATACAACTTTTCTCAGCTTTGAAGTTAACTGATGAATAAACTGCACATATAAAGTATACAACTTGATGAATTTTGACAAATATGTTCATCAGTGAAACCATCACCACTGATAATGAACATACCTGTCGCCTTCAGCAGCTCTGTACCCCATCCCACCGTGCCCTTCTGAGGAAGCCACTGATTCCTGTCACTAGGCATTCTGCTTTTTGTAGAATTTCATATAAATGGAATCATACAGCTTTTTGGTCTGGCTGCTTTCACTCAGCATAACTGAGATCCATCGTGGTGTGTGCAACAGTAATTCATCCCTTTTTATGGCTAATACTTCCATTGTGTGGATTATGTAATTTGCCAGTTTAACTGCTGCTGGACGTTTGTTTCCAGTTTTTAGTTATTACAAAGAAAGTTACTACACACTTGTGTACCAGTCTTTCATGGACACATGCTTTCATTTCTCTTGGGTACATATTGGGGGGGGAAAGGATGGATCATACAGCAGGTATATGTTTAGCATTTAAGAATCTCTTAAATCGTCTTCCAAAGTGGATATTCCCTTTAAATTTCTACCAGTAATGTATGCAAGTTCCAGTTGCTCCACACCCTCACCAGCACTTTATTGGTCAGTCTTAATATTTTAAGTCATTCTAGTAAGTCTGTGGTGGTAACTCATTATAGCTTTAATTCACATTTCCTTACTGGTAAGACTGTGCATCTTTTCATGTGCTTCTTTGCTCTCTGTATGCTTTCTTCAGTGAAGAATATGTTTAAATCTTTTGCTAATTTTTTTTGATTCAGTTGTCTTCTTTGTATTGATAGCTATAAGAGTTTTGTTTTTAATAGTTGTCCATCAGGGGTCAGCAAACTTTTTCTATACAGGGCCACTAAGTAAATAGGTTTTGAGGGCCATATACAGTCTCATATTCTTCTGGTGTTTTTTTTTTTTTTTTGGAGGTGGGGAGGGAGGGGGCTTAAAAAATGCAAAAACTATTCTTAGCTTGCAGGGACTTTACACATAAACAGAACTTAGGCTAGATTTGTCCCATGGTAATAGCCCTTCATCAGATACAAGTCCTCTGTCAGGTGAATGTTTTGCAAAAGTATCTCCCCAGTTTGTAGTAGCCATTTTTTTTTTAAACAGTGTCTTCTGAAAGTTTTAATTCTGATGAAGCACAATTTCTAATTTCTTTTCCCTTATAATTCACGCTATTTATGCTATCTTGCCAAAACCAAGGTCACTAAAATTTTCTTTTATGTTTTCTCCAAGAAGTTTTACATCTTCAGTTCTTAGATTTAAGTCTATGACCCATTTGCACATAGTATGAGGTAAGGATTATGGTTCAGTATTTGTACATGACTAGTCAGTTATCTCAGCACTATTTGTTAGACTATTCTTTCTCCATTAAACTGCCTCAGTTTCTTTGCCAAAAAACAACTGACCATATGTGTGCATCTATTTCTGGATTCTCTATTCTATTCTACTAACCCGTATGTCTGTTTTTACAATGTCTTCATTATTGTAGTTTTATAATAAATCTTAAAATTAGGTAGTGTGAGTCATCCAGTTTGTTTTTTTTTTCAAAGTTCACCTAAGTCCATTGGATTTTAGAATACATGTGTCAATTTCTAAAAACTAAAAACCCTGCTAGGAATTTTACTGAATCTATATAGATTTAGGAGAGAACTGACATTTCAACAAATCCTGAATCATTGATCCATGAACATATCAATTCCATTTACTTAAATATTTCAGTTTCTTTCAGCAAAGTTTTATTATTTTCAGTACTACAGGTCTTATACATATATCCCTATGTATTTATATTTTTGATGCTATTATACACAGTATTATCTTTAAATTTCAGTTTCCAGTTGTTCACTGCTAACAGATGAACTGACTTCTGTATATCGAACTTGTATCCTGCAACCTTGGTAAATTCAATGATAGCCCTAGCAGAATTTTTTGTAGAATTGATATTTGTCTGAAATAGGTTTCTCCTCCCTTTTCAATCTGTAAGCCTTTCCTTTTTCTGGCCTTAATACACTGGCTAGAACCTCCAGTACGACGTGAAATAAAATTGGTGAGAGCGAGCATTTTCCTTGCTTGCACCACTGAGTATGTGAGCTATTGGGTTTTGGTGGATGTCCTTTATCAGGACAATGAAGTTTCCTTTATTCCTATGTGCAGAAGGTTTTTATCATAAAAGAAAGTTTTTATCATAAAAGGATGCTGGATTCTGTTAAATATTTTTTCTGAATATAGTGGGATGAGATGATCCTCTGGTTTTCTCTAGTTAATATGTTGAATTTACACTTAGGAATGTCCACATGTTAAATCCACCTTGTATTTCTGGGATACATTCCTTTGGTTAGGATGTATTACTTTTATCTATTTTTTTAATTTGGTTTGCTAATAATTTTATTAAGAATTTCTGCATCTATATTCAGGAGAGATACTGGTCTGTAGTTTTCTTGTCTGGTAATGCTGGCCTCCTATAATGCATCAAAAAGTATTCCCCTCCTCTTCACCTTTTCAAGATTTTTAGGTAGAACTGGTATTAATTCTTCCTTAACATGCAGTTTCTGGGCCTAGAGGTTTCTTTGTGGGAAGGCTTTTAACTACAAATTTAATTTCTTCAGTAAATAAAGGGCTATTCTAGTTAACTGTTTCTTCTTTAGTGACCTTTGATAGTTTGTATTTTTTAAGAAATTTGTTCATTTCATCAGAATTGTCAAATTTATTGCCAATTCTTCTACTGTCCTTTTAATGTCTGTAAGTCCTCTTTCCTATTAAATTTCTTTTTCCTACATTGTGGCCTGGAAACTTTCCACGCAGTAAAACTAAGGCAACTGAAGGGTGCACCTGGTTTTGTTTTCCCTTCTCTTAAGGATCACTGTCCTGTGCTGCCAGTTAACCTAATATCTGAAAATCACTGCTTTATATATTTTCCCCCATCTTCTAGTGATCTGAAGTGAGAGGGTAAATAAGGCCCTTGTCATTTCATCATGGCCAAGAATGGAAGCTTTTTACTTTTATGATGGAAAATTTCAAACATATGAAAGTTGAGAGAACAGTATAATAAATCTTTCAGGTATCTATCATCCAGCTTCAAACAATTCTCAACTTATGACCATAATAATTTCATCTATATTCCCTCTCTACAAGGCTCCTTCCCTGTTTTATCTTGAAGCAATTCTAGATAATAATCATAAAATTATTCTTTGTAAATATGACAGCAATTTCAAAAAGATTAAAAAATTCACAACCACATTATCACACTTAAAAAATACTATCACTAAACTCTATTATCAAATACTAAGCCAGTATTTAAATGTCCATTTCTTAGGTTTTTTAATGGTAATTTTATTCAAATCAGGATCAAAATAATGTCCGCACAATGTATTTGGTTCGTATGTTTTTAAAGTCCCTTTTAGTTTATATGTTCCCTCTCCCTTGTAAATCTTTGATAGTGCACTGCCCAATAAAGTAGGCACAAGTTGTAAGCACTTAAAAAGTACCTAAAGTTATTAAAACACTAAATATTTAATTTAAAATTAAAAATCAATACTTTAGCCACTGGAAAATGTTTAGAATAATTTGAGTAGACAATTACTTTTACAGTTCTAAGTTTCATAAAATCAAAATACTGATCAAATATTTGATGAAAATTTATCTGAATTCAGATGTGTTGAAATATATAATACAGTATTTTGAAGACTGTAAAAATGTAAAATATCAATTTCCAATATAATATATTGAGTTAAGTATACTATTATAGGTATCTTACCTATTTCTATTTCCTTCGTAAAATGTGGTCACTAGAAAGTTTATAACTACGCACACAGCTTGCATTACAGTCCTGCTGAACAGCACTGAAGTAAATGGCTCATCCTAGACAGCCCCTCTCATTCTAGACTTTGTATTCCTATGGAACCATTTAGCATCTTTTACGCTCTCCCGTATTTCTGGGTAAACTGGTAATTTTAGAGCAGTGGTTCTGAAGTGGGGGCAATTTTGTTCCCCAGGGCAGTATGTGGAAATAGTTTTGGTTGTCACAACTGGCTTGCAAACAAGAGGCCAGGGATGCTAGTTCAAGACAGCCCCCACACAAAAAAATTTTATCCAGTGAAAAATGTTAGGGCTAAGGCTGAGAAACCCTGTTCTAGAGGCTTCATCAGATTGAAATTTTCATAGGTGGTGGGTGGTATGTCCCTCCATCAGAATACATGTCAATAAATATATGGCTATCTTTTTGTGATGTTAGCAGCAAATGTGAGCCACTGATTCTTAGCAGCTACAAAGTGGAGGTTTTCTAATGGTGTAATTCCTTCTGCATTTACTTCTATAAAGAGAAACTTCCCTTCCTCATTTATTTATCCTAAATAACAGTTCACATTAAAAAGTCAGCATAAGTGCTAGATTTTTTCTTTGCCATTTTTCAAAATCATAGCTCATTCCCTAATATCCTCCAAAGGTGACCATTATTATTATCATTATGAATTCATGGGTTTAGATATTTTGATTAGTATTTGAGTCTTTCTGACACAAAAAGATCCTTCATGCTCATCGTCCTTTTAGATGTACCTCTCATATGATGCACAGTATTGAATTTACTTCTAAAAATATTTTTTAAAAAGATGAATTGTATCTATTTACATTTAACAATATATTTGGCCTTAGTTCTGCCATTGTTTTATGTGTATTTATTTTTGTGTCACATGTATATAAATATCTAACCTTAAGTTATGTAATGTTTTAGATTGGCCCCTTCCCTTTTTTTGGTATATTTTTTGGCATTTAGGAAAGCTATTTTTATGAGATTATTGGTGCAAATACCTTATATAAACCCTTATGGCCCTAATCTTTTTTGAGATAGTGACTATTGGTTCCCTCTAATAAACAGCATTGACATTCTCCCTCATTTCCCTCTCCCAATGCATCTAATTTGAATATCCTTTTACTTCTTGATAGAATATATTTGCTGATTGTCCTGTAAGTACAATTTTATTTTAAGAGTGTTGTGCCTTTACTACCAGGTGAGCCTTATAAGCACGTATGTTTTACTGTCTCCTTAGTCTGCTGTGTAGTTCTTAGTCCTCAGTAAGCAGTTTTGTTCTGAAAAGTAGTTGCAGTAGCTTCGAGAATTCACAGGGCCTGAGCCACCCCAGCACAACCTGACCTTTCTGGAGTCTCCAAAGTCCCCTCCCAGTTTCAACTGCTCTCGAATTGGTCTGTTGCGCTCTCCACACCAAATGGGGCCTCTTTCCTTTAGAGATGAATACCTGTTGGTGACTTGATTTTGGGGGTTCTTTAAGCTCTGCTTCTTACCACATACTTTCTGAAACCATGCTAGTCTTGCTGCTGATTGGATCTTACCCATTTGTATTTTGGAGTTCATAGGTGTTATAGAATAAAGAATCTGACATTTGTCCCTGGTTCTTGGGAGGGAGACTATAAAACCCTATAAATCTTCTAAGTGATAGCAGTGGTGGTGTTATTCATGAGCCCCTAGGATCACACCTGAGTTTAAGCTAAGGCAGTGACTCAGGATGGGGGTATGTAATGCCAGAAAGACAAGCCATGTGATTAGAGGGTTGGGGCCTTGAGTCTTACTATTATCCACCCAATCTCTTGACTTCCAGGGAGGGGAGGAGGGCTGGAGATTGAGCTCAGTCACACAGCCAGCGATTCAATCGGTTGTGCCCAGGTAATGCAACTCCAATAAAACCCCGGAACACTGTAGCTCCATGGAGTTTCTTGGTTAGTGAACACACTGCTGTGTCAGGAGGATGACATCCTGATTTCACCAGAAAAGGTTACAAAAACTGTGTTCAGGACCCCCCCCCCAGACCTCACCCTATATGTCTCTTCATTTGACAAGTAGTGATTTATATCTTTTATAATACAACTGTAATTGTTAAGTATAGCCTTTTCTTGAGTTCTGTGAGACATTCTAGTAAACTACTGAACCTGAGGGAGTCATGAGAACCCATGAATTTCTAGCCAGTTGATTGGAAGAGCAAAGGGCCTGTGGACCCCTGAACTTGCGGCTGGCATCTGAAGTAAGGGCAGTTTTAATGAGGTCTAAGCTCTTAGACAGCCTGCTGCTACCCCGAGGGGGCTGGTACGAGAACATACTGCAGTATACCAACAGGGATACCTTAAAGCTTAGTTTGTTACGTTATCCAGGTTGCTGTTTATTTTTGGGGAAAGGATTTGTAAAACTCCAAAACGATGCCACTGTCACTACCATTTTGCTGCCAGTTCTTCTATGGGGATTTAAGTTAACTTAGTACATACATCACATGCCCACCCCCTTCAATATTATCATCATTTCACAGATATTAACAGAAGATTAAATCACCAAGATCACACACTAAGGCCACTTTGTTGATTAGAACTCATTTGAAGTTGGCTACGGGTTACACACTAATCAACGCTCCCAGCTGCTGCGTGGTGACAATGGTGACTATAATTTATATGGGTTAGGAAAGCAGGCCTGCAACTTTGGTTTTCAAGTGACTAAAATCTGATACTCTGATTTATCTTTGATTATTACCACCCCTACCCCAATCAAATTACATAAAATGCAGTATACATACAAAGTGTTTCACAAATTGCTTTCTCATCAACAGGACGCATTAAGTTTGTAAATTAAAGAGCACAGAGCAAACTGCATATTATAAGGGATGAGATACATATACATGTTTTCAAACTGATCTGGAACCCCAAAATAAACAAAAAAGCAAAAATTTTACCTCTGTGATACGTAGTTGTGATGAAGCAGCCATGTAATCTGATTCTAATTTGTTCTTCTCAGAGATCACTGTAGTATTCTGAAGAATTAAATCTACTTTTTGTATATGCAACGAAGTACAAATCTAGGAACAAAACCCCAAGAGTTTAATTTGTTTTACAACTAAGAAAAATGTTTCTTTTAAAAAACAAAATTATAAAATAACATTTTTCTGATGTGACTGATACTTCTAAGAGAATTTTTAAAATGAATTGAGAGAAGAAAATAAGTTTTCCTGTATATTTGAGTCATCTGGAATAAATTAATTTGGTTAAGCTAATATAATATAAACTTAATAAACTTACTGACCTATAAGAAATGTCAAACAGAGAAAGTTGAAATTATTGACAAAAATCTCAAGATTTTACTATCTTTGACTTATCTACCTGCAACAAAAGAAAATGCCTTACCTTTATCAGATTTGTTAATTCAGTAACAAGTTTTGCTTTTTGAACATTTATTTCTTTGATTTTGGTATTTGCTTTTCGCTCTTCCTCTTCAAGGTTGCAAGTATCCTGTTCCATAAGCTTTAAACTGTATGAAATGCATAAAGATGTAGAAATCAGAGAAAACAGAATGACTGAACCCAAATCCTTAGCCTCTCTCTTAATATTGTTCTTTGGTCTATTTTTAGCAATGCCACTCAGATGTGTATTAACTGCTAGCTTCTAGATTAAACAATCATTTTATGTAACCACTTAGGATCGAAAAGTATTTGTTGAGATATATTACGTGCCCAGCACAATGGACATAATGCTAGTGCTAATGTTAAGGAGTCAGAACTGAATTTCCTCTTTGCCACTCATGAACAGTATAACTGAGTAAGTTACTTTTCTGAGCTTCAGCTTCCTCATCTATAAACTGGAAATATTGAAACAATATTTATACATGTAGTCCCTTCCTTTAAGAAGCTTAACTGGAGAGATTTAATATGTTAGGAAAAAAAGGCAATACAACAGTCCTAAAAGTTAACACTTTGCTCTGTAAGATGAAGAAACTAAGGCTCAGAAGTTAATTGTTACCTAAGATCACAGATACTAAGTTGTAAGATGTGTCTGATATAAAGTCCAAATTCTTTCCCCTACACCAGGTTGCCTCCCAGGAAAAAGCAAGAACAAAGGGTGGGAGCAATAATAAACAAGAGTGAACAAGTTCAGTGGATGTTATATAGAGAGTGGCCTAAATGGTACTTGGAGGAAATTAGAATGGGTGGAGTGAAACAAGATTTTGAAAAACTTGAAGGCCAATCTAAGGGAAAGTAGTGTTTAAGTGAACTTCATGTAGCAAAGGTAGGAAGCCACAACAGATTCCTGAAGAGGGTAGGAACATGAAAAGAAAAAAAACTTGACAACACTATTCCAGGTGCACTGATGGAGACTAGTCTGGGAGAAACCACTAACCATGTCACCACTGCAGAATTCCAAAGTGATCACTGTAGGAATGAGGCAACAGGCTGACCGTGGGTATGAAAAGTCATTTCAATACAAAAATCAACATTACTTTATAAGAAGAAAGTTTACTTTTAGACAATTTCAGTACAGCAGTCTAACAATAAGGGTAAGTGTCTTGGAGGTGAATGAAGTGAAGTAGAAAAAATTTCTAGGTAGTTAAATTAAATAGATGTATCTTGCTTTAAACAACAAAGGTATGTTACTGACTTTTTAAATAAAAGTTAATGGGCAACTATTTGTTTAAAAAACCCAAATTTTCTTAATGCGCTCCAAATATGATTCACAGGTAAAAAGATGCACTAAAATAATGTAAGCGTATACAACAACTTCACTGATGATTTCAGTTTCCACCTTGCAATTAAACTGTAACAAACCACATCCTGGCAAGTTCTGATGTAATTAAAGAACACATACACTGAAAAGTCTACTGAAGCACTCCACCCTTTTCCAGTTATATAACTATGTCAGGCCAGGTTTTCTTCATATACATCAAAAGAAACAACATACCAAAACTGAATGCAGAAGCACATATGACAAAACTGACTTCACCTAAACAGATTTATAAAAACGTACACAGAGCACACAAGGGTCCCTCCATAAAGATCTGGTTGATTAGACATGTTAATAACAAAACTACAATATATGTGTCTATTCAGTAAACGATATGTCAAAATAAAAATGCAGTTCCAAGAAATTGTTAGAAGGGTCACCTGGTATCTTTGCCAAGTAAATTTGCCAAGACAACATGGAAAAAAAACAAAACAAAACTGTAAAACAGTGCCACTCTTCTTGCTAAATGTATTTTGTTTGGAAAATAGTTTCTTTGTAAACATTTTATGTTAACTTTTAATGAATTTATTATCATTTTGTATGAATTATTTAAATTCTAATGTGGTAAATGTCAAAAGATATAATCCACATAAAATTTCCTCAAGGATTCAATAACTTTTAAAAATCGAAAAGGGTCCACTGATGAGAACAACCGATTAGAGAACAGAAAAACTCACAATACTTAAGGGTCACTTCCCCTTGCCCTGTGTTTTGGGTAGTAGGGTTACAGTGTGAGAGAGAAATGATTACCAACTGTGCTTGTGGGGACTTTGTCATCGTTACAGGGCAGAACTAATGACATCCTCATGGTGCTTTTGTACCATCCCCTCAAACCCCTTACCCCAGAATAGGATGAAAGATACCTTCCTAGTTTGGAACTAATTTTTTGTTCCAGTTGTCTTTTCTTGGTTTTTCTTTCAAGAAGATCCTTCTTCTTTTGTCGAAGTTCATTATCTTTGTGCTCCAGATGTTGGTTTGTCTCACATAAAGTAATCAACCCTGATTCTACTGCTTGCAATTTTCTATTAATTTCCTATGGAATGTGCAAAGTTAATATATTTAAAAAACAGTCCAGTTAAAGTATTATCCAGTTAATTTCTTTTAATACTCAAAAACAACCAACCTTTAGCTGTTCTTCTAAGTGTCGTCTCTGCTCTAGATCCACAGTGACTGTGAGAAACTGGGCTACCTTTAGGGATGTGTTACTAGAAATAACTTTGTTTGAATAAAAAGAAGTTTTCACCACATACTTTTCTTCTGCCGTATAAATTTGCTTTAATCGGGTTTCTTGTATTACCTACAATATAAAAGAAGCATTCAATGCCCATCTAAGAAGAATTATGATTTAAAAAAAATTCTCCAACATCTCTAAAAAGATAAATGATGATACATTTCAGGTTATTATTTTTGAAAACAACACTAAGGAAGAGAGAACTGGAAGAAAACCAAAACAACCAGCAAAGTCAGCTAACTTCTACTTCACAATTCAGTCTCTCCCAAGTTTTTGGAATTTTGTTTCATCTACAGCAAGACACCAGGGGTCAGTTGCCCAGTAGACTGAATTGTGTTATCTCAACTAAGTCACTGACTCGCCCCTTCCCTCAGTTATATTGTTCAAAGACACATATTTAATTCCTATATATTTGGGAAATATTTAATGCAAACATTTTTCAAGGATTTCAAAGACTTCTTTTTGCATTTTTTGGAGGTCTTTTCTCTCAAGAACTTACATGAGGAGTATCATAAAGTAATGCACATTCTGAACACCGTAACATTATCAGATCTGTTTCTGTATATTTATTTATAAAGAATAGGCTGCTGTAATGTAGTTTTTCCAGTCTCTGAATGTTTATTACCAGTATTCTTGTGGCTTATCTCTTCACTTAGACTGTAAACTTCTGGAGAGAAATTAAGTATACTTAAATATGTCTTAATAGGGTACAAACTAGCATTCACAAATGTTGAATAATTTGAAATGAAGGGAAAGCCTAGGAGCAATTTTAGCCTTATATCTTATGAAAGATGGCCAAGACAATGCCAGGGGCTTTACTAGGTATCTGACTTTCCTTTACTATATACAATATTATTTTTCTAGTACAGACAGTAAGAGTTAAAGCTCTCTACATGACAAACAAAATGTTAAAAAGTAAAGTACATAAAAATAATTAAACTTGAAGCACTGTTCAACAAGTGAAAGGACTGTTACCAGGTGCAGTACTGTTCTTTTTTTGCCCCAAAGTAAAGCTATGCAAGCCCTTACCAAATTTTCTGTAGTCTTTCTGCAATAGTAAAGAATTCCTACTACCCTAACCTTCAGAGATAGTGCCCTACCTACTTTTGAGGTGAAGACAAATTGGTTTGGTCTATGCATACAGTCTTGTCCTCTTTTTTTGACAGAAGAGAGGTTACACCCACATGGAGAATTCTATTTCTGGTTTCTCCAAATGATCATTATAATATAATTTTTAATCAAAGATGCAGGCAACTTACCATAATAATTAGCTTATCTTTGCAAAATTGGTTGGTAATGTACCCCCATTTCTATCTTCTGTTAATTAGGTATAATATACAGGCCCCAAATTACAAGTATCCTTAGGATATTCACTTTAGACTAGTTGTTAAATATATAAAACACATTTTCTAATAAATTCACTATAAATTGCAGTTAGGACTGTAATTGGGTCCTCAATGCATATAAGCAGTATTAATTATGGCAACTTGGTGTTACAGAAAAACTTGTTCTAGAAGAGACTTCTTTCCTGTTTCTGCCTATGCTAAAAGCAATGAATGTGGAATGGAGTCTTACAGATTACTTGTAAGGAGAAGAAAACTCCAAGTAGCATTAGCAGAATATAGAAAATTAGGATCTCAATTTCCTGGCTAGTAGAGCTACATAAATTCTATTAAGGGGTGGTCATTCATATAAAACATAATCTTAAATGGAAGCTTTAAGAAGGGGCGGGCTTACTAAAACAGTTCTATAACCCAGGGCACCATCCTAAAGTATAATTTGTCTTAAAAATAATCTAGACTACAAGAACTTAATGATTATACCATTAATGCTTGAACAAAAGTTTGGTCAAGCCAGGCAGAATCAGGTAAGAGAGCCACATGTCTCTCTTCAGATTTTAACTATATTTAATGTTAAGTATTTATTTACTCTGGGTAACTCCACATCACTCCTGTCATAAAGTGTTAAGTCAACAATCACTGTCCTATGTCATACTAAAAATGTGAAATACCAAGATAATTCCTGTATGGTTATTTCTCCATGACTTTAAGAAGTTTTAACAAAACTACATTTTTGGTACTGACTGAGTATTTTCTTACCCGTTCAATTCTTTCTCTGGTTCTTTCAGTTCCTACAGGAACTTCGTGAATGTGATACTGGCAGCAGAGGTAACTCATCACAGGATCAGGTGCATCAAATAACTCTCGCAAATAAGAAAAAAATCCATACTCTCTGAAAGGAAAAACACCTAATAGGTTCTTCTTAAAATATCATTAAAAATAATCTGATAGTTAACAAGTAGTGAACAAACAATAAATAAAATATAAATTATTTAATGATACTACAAGAAGTCTTTTCTTTGTATATTATAAAGTCACTTAATATTAAGTGATTAATGTTCAGATTTATTTCCTTGTCAAAAAAGCTTATTATATATTTATGATTATTAACTTCTTGTTATTTATACCACTGCTTTCATACATAGTTAAGACTGGCAATTGCAGTTTATCTATTTAATCCTTCTGGAAATTATTTTTGCATTATTTATTTTGCATTATTTAGCCTTTTAGCCTTTTATTTTCCCAGTAACTATTTTAGTATCTTTTATTAACTAGTCCAATATTGTTTCACTGATGTGAAAAATCACCATCATATACTAGCAACACGATGGTCTGTTCCTGGGCCTAGACCTTTCCTTACTTTAGGCTTACGTAGAGCTCTGAAAAGGGAATAATACAGCCTGAAACAAACATATTTATGTGACAAAGAGGTAATTAAAATATATTTAAGAGGTAAATGATTATTCACTATTCAAAGTAACAGTTAAGTTTTAATAATATTTTCAAGACTTACTTGAGTTCATTCAAAGATCTTGATGGTGCTTTGTCTGCATATGAATTCTTAGGAGCAATAACAGCATTTACTCTTAATTTTTTATTGTCACGAACCTGAATATAAGGAAAAGAAAATATTAATTACCATATACTATCAATCAATCATTTTTAAAGTTACCATATTTCTACTGGCATTCATGGGATGATCAGAAATTTGAACATTGATTGACTGGATATTTAATGGTACTTAGAACAACTTTTTTAGTATGATAATATTGTAGCTATATGTTTTTACAAAAAGTACAGTTCTTTTATTATTTTCACTGATAAATTCTATCAAATAGATAAGGAAGCAATAATACCAAAACTCTTTCAGAACACAGAAAGGACATTTCCCAAGTCATTTTATGATTCCGGTATAATCCTAATACTGAATCCTGACAAAACATTACAATATTCCTCACGAACACATATGCAAAAGCCCTTAACAAAATATCAGGAAACAGAATCCAGCAATATATAAACAAGATACATGACCAAGCAGAGTTTACCCCAGGAATGTGAGACTGATTAATTTTTGAATGCTACATCAATCTAATTTATTGTATTAATAGAATAAAGTACAAAAACTATATAATCATCTCAATAGATATGGAAAAAAAATCTGACAAATTTTATCATCAGTGGCTGTTGAAAATTCTCAGTAAACTAAAGGAAGCTTCCTCAACGTGGTAAAGGGTATCTATGATAAGCATACAGCAGACATAATACTTAACTGTGGAGTAACTGAGTGCTTTCCCCCTAAGCCTGGGACCGAGCAGGGATATCTATACCTTACCACATCTCTTCAACATTGTCCTGGAGGTACTAGACAATGCAGTGAAGCACACTAAATACGTAAAAGATTGAAAAAAACAAGTAAAAAGATCTATTTTCAAAGATAAGACTTTCTACGTAGAAAATTCTGTGGAAATCTAAAAAGCAACTACTAGAATTCAAGAAGTGAATTCAATACTGTCACAAGATACAGATCAATGCAAAAAAATCAAATTATGTCTATGGCACTAGCAGTGAACAACTGGAAAATTTTAGAAATGAATTTCTAAAAGTCTCAAAAACCCATAAAATACTTAGGAACAAATTTAACAAAAGATGTGTAAGACAAACACAGAAAAACATAAAACTGCTGAGAGAAATAAATGGAGAACTGATGGGATTGTGGAATGGAAGGATTTCACAGTGGCACAGATTAGCAATTCTGAAATTAAACAGCATTCTAGGCTTGAACAAATGAGTCGAGGTACTGATGATGGGGAGGGGAGGCAGTGTTTTTCACTGCTGCGGCAGGAAATTACAAATATGCAAAGGAGAGTCGAAGGTACCCTGCTGTGTTCGAGTGTAATTGGAAGCATCAGTGTGAATTCATGGTGCCTTCATGCTCTCCTGTTCTCCAAATATAGAAATAAATACAGATACAAAAGCTTGCATACAAGAGTTTAGAAGCAATGAGACACTAGCAACAATGGACACATCCAGTACCCAGATCTTGGTTTTTTAAAATGAGGGTTCTTTGGGGAAAAGGCTAATGATAAGGCCCAGACAGAGTAAGATAAAGGTAAGTCAGCATCTTGCTCTGCCAAAAATTAAGCAGTGCTCAAAATACATTGACAAAGTACCACACAGGAGTCAACCTGAAGATCTCACTGGCCAAATCTGGGACAATCTGAGCATTACAATAATGACAGTAATGTATTATAATCCAGAAAAAATAAAATCCTATGCATTTATATATAATAGATAAGTGGAGAAAAAGTTCTTCCTTATAGTAGAATACCAACTAATAAATACAGAAAGAATGATCGTTACTAGTTCTTAAATCTACTAGGTAATTTCATGAGCAACAGGATATTTTCAAAGTCTCGATGTATCTCCACACACATAATTACAAAGAAAAGGTTTTACTATAATGCTTATTTTGAAGACATACTTATTCCAAGCAATTGATTGATATATTAAGGGACAACTTAAACATTATGTGAATCTCACATTTGCTTGTGGGCAGTCTCATCCGTAAGAAACAAGGTTTTCTCTAGGTGCATGCAAAAACTTGCACCCAACTGAATGGAGCTGCACAGGCACACACCCCTTTCAAACACCCGCCATCTATCTCAGTTTCACCGCATGAGTTCTGAGTCATACCCAACCATATCTGGTGTTACAGCTTTCTATCCAATTTCAGAAAAGTGCTTTATAATTGCTTTCCTCACCAATCACACAATTCACAGATGGGACCCTTCCAATACCTACTTCCACAAGCCAGCTTCAGGTCTTTCAGTAAGTCACAGGGTTGGTACAGTATGGGGAACATAGTCAATATTTTACACTTTGTATTATGTGTAATCTATAAAAACATCAAATTACTATGTTGTACACCTGAAACTAATATGTCAACTATACTTTGATAAATAAAAATGAAAAAGCACATTTATTGTATTTATGTATTTCTTAATAATTTAATCTGTGTAAAACTGCTTTTCTCCCCCATAGCCCGAGGGTTTTTATTGCGCAATTTTGCGTTGTATAGTTTAATCTTTAGGAATGTATATGTTGGTCACAACAAAATCAACTGTACTTTGCAATGGAGAAATAATAAAGCAAATAGGAAAAAATGTAAATAATTGGTAAATCTGGGTAAAAGGTTTACAGGAGTCACATGTATGACTCTTGCAACTTTTCTGTAAGTCTGAAGTTCTATCAAAGTAAGTTTTTTAAGAATAGAGGAGCGGAGGTACAGATGAAACAATACTGGCCATTAGTAATACATCACTGATACTAGTTTTAAAGTTCATTTAAATTTTAAAAATCAATTGTTTTAGTGGTTACACTAAATAAAACTGAATTACACAATGAGAGAGTAATTTCCCTTTCAATTTTCTTTCAATATTTCTAATTATACCAATGAGAAAGTGAACAGTATGGTGTCAGCATGTCTTTAACTCCTTATTCTTCTCCTTTTAAAAAAATTATCTGCTTTTAAGAAGCAACAGCATGGATCTAGGATTTACTACTACTGTTTCTGTTGTCTATTTTATGCAAATTTGGTAGGGACATTATACTTCCTTTTAGAATACTTCATTTGAATAACAAGCAAAGTGATTTAAAGAAAAATTTTAAGTAAGTATAGTTATACTTTAAAAATAAGAGTATAGTATCTAGATACAGCAAAACTTGTGATGGCAGTACACAGTAGTATGTGGAAATGGCAAAAACTGAAGAAGGTTACTAAGTTACTGAAGGACAGAAAATGGTACTCTAGTAGATACAATTAGGAAGAGGTTATATATAATATTTCACAATCTAAAATTCATACACAAAAAGTCATATATGTAAGAAGAAGTTCTAGTCCTAACCGTGAAAAGCTATGGAAAGTTAACTGTTACAGCACAAGGGGAAAAAAAGGTCAAATTTCCAGGAACCTATGTGATAGTATTAATATATGGTTCAAATCCTTAGCACAGAGGAAGCAAGAGCAAAGCAAGTTCCTCAGTGCAGGCCACCTGCAAAACAGAAATCATCTAACTGCACCTGACCCGAGGCCCTTCACAGTGCGCCATCTCTCACAGACTTGTAATCTAAGTAACCCACTGCTTCACTGAGGTCTGATAGATCAAGAACTTACTGTTTAGGCTTAAGGAGTTCTAAGTACATGAATGTTTAATTCTTTGGAGTCCATGTTCTAGTTTTATTGAGCTAACCTTTCTATCCAGCCATCTTACATTCACATTCCCTGCCAATTCCCAAACCAGAAAAAGGGAAATACGGTAAAGTTAAAGAAAGTAAAGATTCTTTCCAATCTACTTGTGTACCAGAGAAACAGAGGACCACTTAAACAGATTCACGGTCCTGTCCTCACTCAGACTTCCTAGAAAAGGTTCAAACAAAAAATCTAAATTTCATCTCCTCAAGGCTTTCAAAGAAGCAGAAGCAAAAAAAAAAAAAAAGAAAATCTTACTGACAACAGTAGTAACATATACAGCTAACAATTTATATTACAGATATATAATATAATAAAAACAATAGCTAACAAGCACTGTTCTAAATACATTTTCATTTATTAACTGACTTACTCCTCACAGCCATCTTTTAAGGTAAATAATATTCCCTCCATTTTATAGGTGAAGAATTTAAGACACAAAACATTTTGTTACCTCGACCAAATTAGCAGCAAAGCCAGAATTCAAATCCTGGCAGCCTGTCTGCAGTCTGCTTCAGCTAAGCCATGCTGCCTTCCAGTTGCTTAGACTCTTGATCAGTGGTGTTTTTCTAGTCAGATTCTCACTGGATTCTCATTCTTTTTAAAGATGTTTTATTTATATTAATAAGCAATGTCATATTGATTTCCCCTCCAAAGAAAATCTGAGTTCTTTCCAATACATTTCCAAAAAAGATGTCCAAGACCAACTGCCCATTATTCTAATGTTTTTCTCTTAAAAGAACGATAGAATGACTCTTTATATTAATTACAAATGATAATTTCAAAGTACGTTATAGATGAAAATATAGGCTTTTCTTCCTCTTATAAAACAAATTCATTCCCCAATAATGGAATAGACAGGAAAGAAATTAGCAAATTTGAATGACTTTACACAAGAGTTATTACTGGTTAAATTAGCTGTTGTTTTTTGCTCTAGTTTGAATTTAAAAATGCAAGCACTGGAAGATAAATGCCAAGTGAGTTAAATAAAGTATTATGTTGGTTAATACTTGCCTCTTTGAGGAAAACTTCCATATCTTCTTGACTTTCAAATACAAAAGCTCTCAAGTCATTTGGTGGAATATGATTTTCAATATATTTAGCGTTTTTATTATCTTTCATATTAATCTAAATAAGAGAAAATATAAATTGATTTTCATGAAACCCAAACTGATTACTAAAACATTATCATAATTAATTTAGATTTATTCATTTAGATTAAATTTGATCCCTGAGAAAAAGGAAGACCAAAAAAAGAAGAGTTTGGTATTGAAGAATCTATTTATTACCCAAAACATCCAAAACACAGTAAAGCAAAAGCCAAGACTTTAATAGCACCTAATGCGTATCAACTTTAATACTACTGAAGAAACAACTGAAGCTTCTTTTTGGTCAATTCATTGAAAACATTTGAAATAGGCTTAGATTGTAACTAAGAGTATAAACATTTCCCATCAGTCCCCAAACTGTTAATATTTTTCTTCTTAGAGATAGAAGAATTCATACTATCCATGGTAATAACTGACTAGTACAAAGACCTAAAAAAATTTATAAAACTAATGGAAAAAAACTTTCTACGGATTAATTACAACTATCAGTGCTTTCAAGAGAAACCCCAGGTTTATACCACAGGAGCATAAACTTATTTTAAAAATATTAACTAATTAGACATTTCTGTATGTGAGACTCAATACTATGGAAAATACTAAAATGGTTCAAGAAAACAAATTGTTTCCGAAGCATATAACCCGCTTTTTATTGCTTAGTATAGGTATGTTGAAAAGCACACCATGGTAAAACTCCATTAACAGAGGTATATAAGAAGTGTTATCTATGGATTTAGAGGAGAGACAGATCACCTCTAGCAGAGGAAATGAACTTTCTTGAAAAAAATTAAGATTTATGAAAAAGAGGGTATTTATGCTCCATATAAATAAAATACAGCCTACTAGTTAAGAACTAGGGCTCTGGGGTCAGACAGATGTCACTTCAAATCCTACACCTGACCTTGATCAAGTACTACCTAAATCTCTGAAAGCTTTAGTTAATTCATCCGTAAAATGCGTGTAGTAAAACATTCTATCTCATAGGACTAAATGTGGATTAAAAGAGATAGTATGACAAAAAACTAATACAGTGCTTGTCACATAAATGTTGGTCAATATTATTTTAAATTATAGACTATCAATCAGCATAGAAAAATGGGAAAACTAATACACAAGCAAACAAACAAACAAACAAAGCTGTATAAAAATAATTAAATGACTGTGTAACCAACTTACACAAGATGAGGGCCCCAGAGTCTGATAGGTCAGACTTATCTCTGATAAGTACACCCTGGGGGAGAGTTTAATGAGAAGGTTTTAATTAATTTTTTTACAAAAAAATTAAAGCCATATATGGCATTTTACGGATGAATTAACTAAAGCTTTCAGACCTAAACACTTACACTTAGTGTCTCCTGTTTCACAATTTTTTTGTTACCAAATTACTTTGTTAGAAAAAATGATACAAATGAAAGAAAATGTTAAGTGGCTGTTTACTACACCTTATAGAAAGGGTAAAATAACCCCCATATCACCACAGGAAGTCACCTTTTATTAAAAGCTATAGATAAGCCAACCTGGGACTTAACTCTCATTAAAACTCCCCCAGGGTGTACTTATCACAGGTAAGTCAAGTCTGACATATCAGACTTGGGCCCCCATCTTGTGTAAGTTGGTTACACAGTCATTTAATTCTTTGATGAATTTCACATGGTCATTTAGGTAATGCATCTCAAAGAAGTCACATAAATAGGGGTCATTTCTGTCATTGGCCAGTTTGTGGATTTTCAGTGGTGACTGATACACATTTTTTCCGAAGTGTAATACACACCCCATTGCACTGACTATCTGGCTTTCTGATATCCTGACAGATTTGGCCATATTGTTGATTCTGCACCTTCATCAACTCCTTAGCATACTCTTTCTCCTCACGAGATTGGTGAAGAAAATGTTGTGGCTTTGAAGAACTTTGCCAATCTTCACAAAGCAGTAAGACACAGACAGGCAGACATAGGAGGCATAGCACTCCAAGATGTTTTGGTGGTTGATGGCTGATTCCTGTTTCATAATTTTTTTTAATGAAATCTTTTAAAAAATCCTATCCTGTACCCTGTTTTGTAATTCATTAACATATCCTGTAGATGTCCCTTTAGATTAGTAAATAGAGACCTACAGAAACGTTTTAAATAGCTGCACAGTATTTCATTATAAAGACACAGGAAAATTTAGATAACCAACCAGTATCTTCTGAAATTTTGTCCTTTGTTCCATCATTCTGCTGTTGTATACACTACTGTGACGAGTACAGCTGTAAATAAATCTCTGCACACTTCTCCAGTTCTAGATTAGAATTGTTAGAAATAACTCATGGAAACAGACTGCTAACTGACAAATTATATGACTAGAATTTTAAGTTTATATATTACTAACCTGCTTATGGCACAGCACCATCTCAATTATGTCTTGAAGGGTTAGGTAAGTATGTGAGCAAGACACAGTTGGAAGGAGGTGGTAAGAAAGGTGAAGTTTCTCCAGAAAGGGTTAAATAGTAGAGTAAATCTCTTTTATCTCTAAGATTCAAATGTAATTTTAAAAGTAAACATATGCTAGCTAGTAATCTGACTTGGTGGTATGTTATTATTAGGAAATGAAATGACAAGAGGATGACAAATCTAATAAAGTTTACAAGTATTTTTTTGAGGTGGGCATGTTAATAAAAATCTATTGACAATTACATTTGCATTATAACTTGTTATACCAAGGGTCACAACATTTTTTCTTTTATTTTCTTTCAGTCCTTACCAGATTAATCAAAATAATATATGTCTGCATCCAAAATAGGTATTCCCTTCTTGATCTGGCAAAAACATTCTAATAATAACATACCTGAGCAAGAAGAGAATATGGTATTATGTACACTAATTTTGCTAATATAAATGTAAGATATAATAAAAGACAAAAACTGTATGAAATGATTTTGAATAAAGCATAAATTAAAAAGGAGCTGCAGAAGATAGAACTTTTCATGAATCCTGCAGAGATCTATAATGAATTATTTTAGAAAAGAAAAATTATCCAGCAAAAATAATCCTTATGTCATTTGAGGGAAAGTTTATTTTATATATATATCTATATATATATCTATATATCTATCTATTTCTCTATCTCTCTATCTCTCTATCTCTCTATCTATCTATCTATCTATCTCTAACACATCATTACCAAAGAACATGGCTTTTACTTTTTCATTCCTTCTCATGGTCCTATTTAACCATTTTCAATGGAAATCTTCCAAGTAAATCCATGCCCACATTTCACTGAATTATTTACTAATTACAGCTTGCCCTATTCTTGCTGATCCATGATCATCAATAAGAACTACCAGATGTTTATGAGGCCAATAAACTGTTTCATTCTCAGAATCCTCAGAATGCTGTTTTTGTAGTGGGTGATTTTCTGGTCCATATTGCCAGGTGTTCCATATCAACTTTATTTATACATAGCAGTTTTCTACCCCTTTTGGAAGCATTTAATACATTGCCTCTTATAACCTAAGGTTAGCAACTGTCAGAAGGAACCAGCTAAACAAGTTTAGACATGATTCTTGTTCAGTAAGCTGCCAATTTCATACTTCCATCAAGAAAAAGTTCCCAGGTTTACTGATGAAGGGCCCTCTAAAAAACTCATGTGTGGATCCAGCAGTATACCAGAGGCCAATAATGGAAAACCAGAATGTTGATAAAACTAAGAATTCTTAAAACAACAAAAACCTACAATGATTACAGTAATAAAACGAACTAACAAGACACTACCAAGATGAACTCATTTCTTACCGTAAGCATTATGGGCTCACAGACTCTTTGCTTAAATTTGTCTCTGTTATTTCTCAGCCATAAAACAGCAGCATATGTATCGCGGTATCTCTGTCTCAGCTTATCTTCCTTTTGATTCATAAGATCATCAAAACGTGTAATGTGATCATCCACATCTAAAATTGGAAAATAAAATTAGGCATTACTTCTCTGAAAACTTTTATTATTGAAATAATCTATTAATAGATAACAACAACAACAACTAATAATAATAATAATAATAATAATAATAATAATAATAATAATAATAAATTAGATCTAAAAGTTGAAACACCAGTTAGCAAGTACCCAGCATAGTGAAAAGGACCCACCCTGGACAAATCCTTTTCAAATTTCTACATACCTAGGATAAAAGATGATCTTTAAGCTATCAAAAATAAATAGGTCACATACAAAACAGTGGGAAAACACTGAATTTCCTATAAGAAGATAATAGTAATTGGAGAAATTGAGAGAAAAATTACTTTCAAGCTAGATTTTTATATATAACAAAACAGAAAAAAGTAGAAATGAAGTAAAGGTTTTTCAGGGATGCAAAGACTGAAATTAGTTTCAAAATATCTCTTCTTAGGAGGTTAGCTAAAGATGTACTCTAACAAAATAAGGAAGTAATGTAAGAAAAATAAAGACAAAGAATTCAGAAACAGCTTTACCCAACACAAAAAAAGGTGGGAGACACATCCCAGATAACAGCCATATAGAAGACCTTAAGAAAAATCAGTTTAGATGGGAGAAGAATGGAAGCTTCCAGAACTCAAGAGAACGCCGGACAAGATAGCTTTTCCCCCCAATTTAAGGAAATGCTAAAGCAAATGGTGTTTTTTTAAAAAGTTATCAATGAAAAGAAATTAGATCATACTATACTACTTGGCTCTATGAACAAGTTTGATAACATAAATAATACTTAGTATTGCTACTGTTAGAATTAACCCATAAACAGAGCAGATGACTTAATTATGGTTCTCCTTTAAATGTTTTCAGCCTTGAAACCATGAATACCAGAGTCCAGATTAGAGAACTGAGAATGTGAGAAGGGAGGAAAGTAAAAATGAAGGCTGGGAGTACCAGTATTTTTAGTTTATAAATGTGCGTTCAAATGATATCTATAATTGTTAAATAACAAAAAAAGGCTATAAGAATATTATAATAAATCAATAAATGTTAAAGATGACTAATATTAATATAATAATCCCATTTAAGAGATTACAATAAGGAGGGGAGTAGTTATGAGTTGAAATCAACATTTAAAATAACAAAATAGTAAAAGACAATGTCTAATACTGATTAATAAAGCCATGTAAAATAAAAATATGAAGATATATTAAGGACTATCAGATAAAACTGCTAAAATAGTTAACAGTGCTTACTCCCAAGATTGGTCTGGAAGTTGGAAAGATGCGGGGCCACCTTTCCTGTGTAGTTTTTTTTTTTTAAACTATACACCTAGTATTTTGCTAAACATTAAAAGTATACATATTTTTAACTGATCTTAGTCACATACACTGAACAGACAGGATATAAGATCTCTATCTGAATAATGCTATAGATCTATCCACTTAGTCTACAGGAAAAAAAAAAGTGAAGATGAAACTGGACAGATTTCAAGGAGCAAGGCTCATGGAAGAGCTTAAATCTGACCCAAGAAATAAAAGAACAGTCAGTGACTTTGTGAAGAAAATAAAGCAAAGTATTTTTAGAGAATTAAACCAACTGCCATAATCTGACACCAGACAATGATCAGCAAGTGGCAAATCATTACACAGTAGATACAGGTAATTAAGACTCTAAAATGGAAGAACTGAGCTGGCTTCCTCAGCAAGGAGACCTGAACACTTAAGAGACCACAGTATCAGGGGAAGCAGAAAGGCCATCAATAGACATATCTCCACTTTATAAACAAGACTTCTAAGCTTAATAACACTTACTCTTTTTCTCCTTCTCTAGAGTTTTTCTCTCTTCTCGCTTATCAATTATCTCGCCTTCGCATAATGCCTTTTCCTCTTGAACTCGTCTCAGATCATTGGTAATGGCATCAATCTGAGGCTGAAGATTCTCACAGTTTTCTGTGGTCTTCAGTTCATTCTGCAGATCTTCTATCATTTTGCGGGTATTACTTATTCTCCTCTGTCGGTCATGCTCCTCATTCTGTTTTACTGTTAAAGCCTGCTGAAGCTCCTCAATCTAATAAAACAAAAGTAGGTTAGTACTGGAGATTGTTTTTTCTCCTGGTTTATAAGGCTTTTATAGTAACATAGTTTTAAAAATACATGCAATCTAAGAACACGGGTGTTTTCCTCACTAAAAAGTACCTCCTACTAGAATCAGGCTACCTGTATTTTCATTTGTTCAGTAACACATCCCAAGTACCTAGAGCAGTGCTTAGCATATAGTCAGCATTCATTAAATATTTGCTGAATAAATAAAATATTTATAAGGCCAATCACCAGATTTCTAGATATTCATAGGAAAGAAATACATACTACGCATCATAAAACTGAAATTAAAAACAGTCACATGATATAGGACAGCCTTTCAATAAAACAATAGAAATGATGACTGTCATCCTATTAATTTTAAACCACAATAAACTATTTTCTTTCAATAAAATTATTTTCTACTAGCACTTCAAATTAACATTTAAAGATTTTAATCCTCAATCTGTGTAAATCATTAAAAAAAAATACCAGATCATGTAAATTGACGGAGGAAATTTTATTAAAATCATAACATACCTAAGACAGAGCTGTGATTTTGTTTAAGACATACTCATACACCCAATTTATTTTTTTACAAAAATAGAATTTTGTGTTAAGATAGGTAAGGTTAACACATGAGATAATTTGCTTATTAGCTCCCTTTCTTTCCAAGTCACATTCACTCCCTCCCCTTCTCCCTACAAAAGTAACAACATATAGAAATATGGAAAAGATACAAACTTATAACAAAAATCACCTATAATCTTAATGTCATTAAACACTTACATTTTAATGCCAACTTACATCTAACAATAGAAAGTATGTTTTACTAAATGGCATCACTAAAAATTGAGAGCAGTTTCTCATTACTTCCTATGTCCTTGCAAAATAAGTCTAATGCCTGCATAATGTTCTATTATATGGATATACATTTTATCCCATTCCCTACTGTTGGAAATTTGGGTTGGTATCAATTTTCCTTTCTAAAAGTTTAGCTTTGACAGTGTGTCAAGATAATGAACTAATAAACATATGCCCAAAATCCCCTCTCCTATAACAAACATGTAGAAGTGAAAGAAAAAATATTTCAAAAAATTAATACACATGTATCTGTTATTAAAAATTAACAATGTTCAATGGGCCTAAAAGAAGGAAAGAGAAAGAAGCCACAGTATTCAGCCAGGGAACCCACGAAGTCCAAGGCAGTGAGGAGAATAAACAGGTATGTCATAGGGACAGGTATAGAATTAAAGATCACCAGCACATGAATATAAGTCCAAGTCCATCAAAAAGGGATAAGATGTTTAACAAACATAACCACAGTAATCCCACTGTACTACTCCCTCCATTAACTAAGCCCCACTTCAGATCTTTTGAAGACAACGTGATCCAACTTTACCACCCATTATTTTTGTTGCTATGTTAACTACCTTCCTCAAAATCATTCCTCAGCCCCTTCATTCACTGACGACTTTAGAACCCGACTTCCTCTCCAACATTATGCTGTCATTATGGAACTTGAATAGACATACAGAAAGTCAGTCTGATTTTCTGGCGTGTGTTCCCTGACCTCTACAACTTCAACCATCATTTCCTAAACCCCTCCTCAGCCATCTTTTCCTATGTTTATATTAGCCTGTATCTCCTACTAGATCATATAAATCATCAAATATCATACCACCTCTGAAAACTGTATTTTTATGATCCTACTCCTTTATCACTATTTCCTTTCTTTCCGTTTTACACTCTATAGTATTCCTATTCCATCTATCCTATGACTGCACAGGATCCTGAAATCCACTGACCCTACTGTGTTTTCACAATCTACCATCTCCCTCATTTCTTTCCTTAACCTGCTAAGGTTCCACAATCCAGCATTAGAACCACTCCCTTGCAAAGACCTCTTGACCCTTCACCATTCCTATGTCACATGAGCAAAGAAAAACCCTTGTCTTTATTAAACCTAGCTATAAAACTTCTGCTTATTTCTACCTAAACAACTGAACCAATTGGAGAAACTCTTAAAAACAGGTCTCAGTTCAAATTTATGGCCACAAGCATCCAGAACTACCAGAAAAAACTACTACATTTTTCTAATAAATGTGTGATCTCATTCTGAGATGACTTCACATCTTTTCCTCCTTCACTGATCCTTTATTGACTCAGGGCCTCTACCACTCAGCTAATAACTTGTCTCATATTTCATTAACAGCATAGTTAAAATCAGAGTACTCTGATCAGAGTACTTTTCCTGTTTTCAAAACCATTACCCTACCTCCACCTGTACTCTAACCCCTCCAAGGCTATTCCAAGCAGTGTTTCTCAAATTATTTATAGTAAAGGACGATTAAAAGAATTCTAAGCAATCACAAGTCAACTTTTATCAATTACAACTACAAAATGCTAATAATCATTTTGGAAAACAGTGTGTCAATTCCTTCAAAAGTTATATGTACACCTATGATATACAAGAACTTGTACAAGAATACTCACAGCAGCTTTTTTGGTAATAGCTCCAAAGCACAAACAACCCTAAATGTCCATCAACAGATGAATGGATAAACAAATGTGATCTCAAGTGAAAAAACACATCAAAGTGAATAAAAATAAAAATACAACATATCAACATTTGTGGGATACAGCTAAAGCAGTGTGGAGAGGAAAACAGCACTAAGTGCATACAGAAGAGGAAACGCCTCTAATCCATCTGAGCTTGCACCTCAAGACTCTAGACAAAAAGAGCAAAACAAACCCACACCAAGTGGAAGAAAGGAAGTAATAAAAATATGAACAGATAGCAATGAAACCAAAAAGAGAAAAACAACAGAGAAAAGTCAATGAAACAAAGAGCTGGTTCTTTGTAAAAAAGCAATAAAATTAACAAATCTCTACCAACATTGATTCCCTCTTCCCAACAACAACAAAGCAGTAGACACAAACTTCAGTATCAGGAATGAAACAGGTGTATCAGTATCTCTACAGACCCTACGGAAATCCAAAGGATAGTAAGAGAATTTTTGCACATGTAAATTTAACAACATAGTCAAAGTGGACCAATTCCTTAAAAAACACTAACTACCACAAATCATCCATATGAAATATATTATCTGAACAGCCCTGTGACTATTAAGTAAACTGAATTCATAATTTCGACACTCCAAAAAGGAATCTCCAGCTGTAGATAGTGTTATCTGAGAATTATTAAGAATATTTTAAGAATTAACACCAATTCTACACAATCTCTTCCAGAAATTAAAAGGAAGGAATACTTACCAATGCATTTTAGAAAGCTAGTTATTATCCTGATATCAAAAGCAGACAGTATGAAAAGAAAACTATGAACAATATCCCTCATAAATATAGAAACAAAAATCCTTCGAAGGTTAGCTAACAGAATTCAACAATATGTAAAAGGAATTATAAATTTAAACACCTTAACCAAGTAAAGTTTATTTCAGAAATGCAAGACTGATATGATATTCAAAATTCAATGTAGCCCATCATTTTAATAAGCTAAAAATGAACATGCGCAAGATCCTATCAATAGGTGTAGAGAAAGCATCTGACAAAATCTAACACTCATTCATGACATTCTCAGAAACACAGGAATTGAGCAGAACTTTCTGAACTTGATAAAGAGCATGTATTAAAAAAACCCTACAGCTAACATTTTACTCAAGAGTGAAAAACTGAATGCTTTCCTCCTAAGATCAGGAACAAGGCAAGGATGTCCACTCTTACCATTCTCATTCAACACAGTGCTGACAGCTTCTAGCCAGTGCAATAAGGCAAAAAAGGAAATAAAAAGCACAAAAATCAGAAAGGAAAAAATAAAGCTGTCCCCACTTGCAGATGACATGATTGCCTATGTAGAAAATCCCAAGAAATCAATTAAAAAAAAACAAAGAGAGAAAGAAAAAAACAAAAGAAAAACTTAGATGTAACCTAACATACCAAGAACTTGTATGCTGAAAACTGCACAAGGCTGAAGAAAAAATTCAAAGATCTAAATAAATGGAGACATACCATGTCCATAGATTAGAAGACTCAACACAGTAAAGATTAAATTCTCCCCAAATTGATATACATGTTTATTTAATGCAATTCCTATTAAAATCCCAGCAACATTTCTCTATAGATAAAGACTTGGCTGTCATAAAAAATAAAATAAGGAACTCTGAAAAGCCTCTCCTCAAAAAGCAATGAAAATATAGACAAAAATGGTCAAAATTAACTTTTCAAAACACTCAAATTTAACCAAAGGCTTCCAACAATCAAGAGAACATCTATTCAAGAAAAATGCCTGAATTTTGGTTAAACAAAACAGAACACAAGCTTAGAGGCATTGTGAACATGCCCTATTCCCATTCCCCTCTCCCTCAGTTCCATGGCAGCCTTGAAAACCAACAGCCCACAGTCATAGTGAAATTAACAGCCTATCAGACACTGAAGAGATCATAAGAGGGTTGGGGCCCTTTCAAATTCTCATTCTCAGAGAACCATCATTATCCGATCTGTGTGGCAGTTTCCTGGAAAACCTTACTTGCAAGGCTTGTCTTCACCTGACCTGACTCCACAGCTGGCACAATGCAAAAATACCCTTTTCCTTGGAGGCATCTGCCAAAAACCAGTGGCAATCATTTAAAACCACAGCTGCCTGCTGTGGGGTAACAGTGTGGCAAACAATAAACTAATGAAAAAAAACTTAAACAGGAAGAATATCTGAAGAAATAATGACCCCCAAAACTTCCCAACTTTGATGAAAAATATTAATCTTCACATCTAAGAAGCTCCATTAATTCCAGGTAGGATAAATTAAAGGTGGCTTACATCCAGAAATTTCAGTTAATTATGAAAGAAAAAGAATTTTGAAAGCAAGAAGACAGTAACTCATCACATACAAGGGATCTTCAAAAAAGATTAATAGCTGATTTTGCATCAGAAACAATGGAGGCCATAAGGCAGTGTGATGTTACATTCAAAGTA